GGGGGGGGGGAGTGTTGGGGAAACTTGGCCGCCGGCCCAGAAAGGGAACTTTGCTTTGCTTTGGCCCCAGGATTGGGAGATCCCGACAGGGAATAGCAGTACCAGATGTGGGTGGGAGCCTCGGATAGAGGAGCTGGGGGGAGGGGCCATGGAGAAAAATAATAGAAGCTACTCATTGCAATGAAGCAAATTAGCCTCCAGAAATGTCTAAGCCTCACATCCCAATCCCACTCCCCCACATGCATTCAGAGTCCCTGACTCTGATTGTCTTAGCTATAACCATTTGGGTGGCACCGGAACTGGGGTTGTTCATATAGGAGCTGAAGTCTCCTAGGTGGCTGACCCCCTTCCAGCACCACTCCTTCCTCCCAGCTTTCCCCAGGGTCATTCTCTAGGGCCAATTATCTCCTGGTCTCCTGTTGGTGCTTTGACCACAGGAGCCAGGAATTTGAACTTCTCATCATGGAAGCCACACAGTGCTCAGACATCTCCTGCTCTTCCCCCACCTCACCTCTACTCCCCATCTCCTGTATTTAGTAAAGAACCGACCACATTTTCACCCTTACTCTCTGTACAGGGATGGGGATCCATCACACAGCACTTGACAGCCCCCATTTACCCCTTTCATTTCCCTTTCACAATTCCCTTTTTAACCATGATCCCTATCATTTACTGCCTTCTTCTCTCTCCCATCACCCCACCTCTAAAACTTTGCCTTCATTTGGTTGATTCTCCCCAAATCACCCTTTTCTCCCACTTGTGCCTTGATTAGCACTTCACCACTATCCTTGTGCTTCCAATTACTCTGAATCATATCAGGGTGACCCCAGACCAAGTGGGAGGTCAGGATTATGACAGAAGGTGGGGAGGTGGGTGGATGTTCAGAGCAGGAGTTGGGGGAAGAGCAGTACCATCCCTGAGTGTTCTTGGGTTCAGGCTCCAACCACTCCAGAGACATGCCACTAGCTTTCATGAAGAGGAAGATTCTTCTCCTTCCCTAATAATGGGTCCCTCCTTTTCACCATTAGTCCCATCTGTGGAGCTGAGCTGAGCTGAGCTGGGGATGTGGAGGGGGAAATCTTGTGCCACTTTGGGTGCTTACAGGCTCTCTCTCTCTCTCTCTCTCTCTCTCTCTCTCCCCCCCTCTGTCTCTCTCTCCCTCCCCCTGCCTCTGTCCCCCTCCCCCTCTCTTTTTTTTTCTCTCTCTCGAAACATATGTGTGCATCTCATTCTTTGGGGACAGCTCTTCAAAGGGAAGTTTTTCATATGCCAGGGCGAGGACACGAGAAATATCACCAATAAGTCAGACTGCACTGAGGCCAGTTATCGGTGGGTCAGACACAAGTACAACTTTGACAACCTGGGTCAGGTGAGCACTGTGGGAGAGATGAGTCCATGAAGGGGGGAGCTCAGTTGTTTCAGTCATGTCTGACTCTTCAGGACTCCTTTGAGTTTTCCTTGGCAGAGTACTGGAATGGTTTACCATTTCCTTCTCTAGCCTATTTTATAGATGAGAAAACTGAGGCAAACAGGGTTAAGTGACTTGCTCAGGGTCACAGAGCTAGTAAATGTCTCAGGCTTGATCTGAACTCAGGTCCTCCTGGCTCCAAAGCCAGCACTCTAACAGCCACCAGTGGGATTGTCCCAGGATCTTAGCTTTTTTCCCTTTTTCCCCCTGTTTTGCTTCTTCCATGTTGTCTCCCCCTTGAGACTAAATTCCTTGAGAGCAGAAAGCGTTTTAGAGTTTTTTGTTTGTTTGTTTGTTTTGTTTTATTTTTGTTTTTAACTTTTCTGTATATTCCCATCACTCAGCACTGTACATGCCACACAGTTAGTGCTTAATAAATACCAGTTGATTGGACTCTTCTCCCCCTGCTGATCCAAAAATTTTATGTGCTCCTAGTGCCCATGACCCTGCTTACTCGAAGCCAGGAGATGTGCAGAGATTTTAGTGATATTCCCTTTAGCCTCCGAATCTTGGTCTACAGAATGGAGAAGCTTCCCAGGCTCTGGGATGTTTCAACAAAGCTGACAATTGATGGAATTTATATAGTCAGGGAGTTGCTGCTAATATCTGAGGATGTTTTGGCTTAGGATGGGAAGACTTTGGCAAAAGATAACAGGGGGCATCCTGGGTTCCTGACATGCCTCTGTCTTTCCTGGGTTAGGCCCTCATGTCCTTGTTTGTGCTGGCCTCTAAGGATGGCTGGGTGGACATCATGTATGATGGGCTGGATGCTGTGGGTGTTGACCAGCAGGTAGGTGGATTGGGGACAGATGGTTCCTTGTCTTCTGAAGTCTGTCCATGGTGGGTCTGGGTCCCTTTGAATTCCAGGCTTAGTGAAACCAGACAGTAGGGCTGGAAGAACCCAAGACAACAGACCCTAAGGTAATGAAGCTAATAGAAACGAGGCTCTAGTCTTATTTTTAACAAAATTAAGCAATTAGTTTTAGGGATCTAGTCATTGGTACTACAAGCCAGGGATCTGAGGGCGAGGGTGGAGGGAAATGTCTCCTGTAGGGAATTTTTATTTCTCACAATCTGCCTCTAGAGCCTCTTGGCTAAGGGTGGGGAACCTGAGGCCAGCCTCCAGGCCACATGCAGCCTTCTAGATCCATATTGGATTCAGTCAAAAGACTGCACTTAAGGATCTAAAAGAAGGCCGCAGATTCCCCACCCATGCTCTAGGCTCTTTCAGTCCCCAGATCTCTGCAGTGCACCCATGTCTCCCGCCTTGCTCCCCAGCCCATCATGAACCACAACCCCTGGATGCTGCTGTATTTCATCTCCTTCCTGTTAATCGTGGCCTTCTTTGTGCTGAACATGTTCGTGGGTGTGGTGGTGGAGAACTTCCACAAGTGTCGGCAGCACCAGGAAGAGGAGGAGGCCCGGCGCCGGGAAGAGAAGCGCTTACGGCGGATGGAGAAAAAGAGAAGGAGTAAGGAGAAGCAGATGGCTGGTCGGTAGTCTTTCCACATCTCTCTGAATCCTGCTTGAATCTGGCCTTGGCCTAGTAACCTCAGGTGCTGGGGGGCAGAGGGGAGGAGGCTCACCTCCTTCCCGCCTTCTCTCCCTATCACTTTGAGCATGTCTGCCTCCAGAAACCTGCATGATGGAGACTAGCTCAGCCCCGCCAGAGGGGATGATATCCCCAAAGGGGCCCGCATGGTTTTCAGCATCTAGTCCCCATGCCCCGCCCCATCCCGGCCAGGACAGCATTTTAAACAGTGCCAGGTGAGACCTTCATTGTCTCTCCCACCTCACCCCTGCTGCTGGGATGGGGTAAGATGCCTCACTCTTAGGTTTCCTGACACCTGCCAAAGGGGGCCCGAGCCTTAGCCCCAGGGTGGGATAACATGAAAGGGGTGGAATGCAGTAATTGGTTGAGTTTTCCTCTGTCTGTCCAAGAGCTTGAGGCTACAGGGTGAGTGTCTGGTTAGTCTCTGAATTGAGGGGATGAGACAAAGACCCAGACCCTCCCTCCTCTCCCTTCCCTTCTAAACTCTCTGACTTCTTCATCATTTCTTTTTTTATCTTTTCAAGTTTTGGCCCTGGCACAGAGAAGACTTGGGTCAGAGGTCAGAGCGACTTTCCGTATAGTCCACGGCCCATGGATCTCGGATTATTATCCCTTATTTCCTCTCCCATGTGTCTCACCCTTCTTTGTCTCATTACCTGGAAACCCTCTCCTTACAGCCCTTCCTCAAAATACGCACTATTGTCTCTTAAAACACTTCGTCCCTGTCCTGCCCTTCCTCCGTTCTGGCTGAACGTTCATGATCTCTGAGCACTAAACCATTTCCCCAATCCCTTTATATGCTGAAATGGATTTCAGAGCATAGGGGATTCATCTTCTAAATGAGGGGATCACACTAAAATGATCTCTGAGGTTCCTTCCATCTCCGAGAAAACGACCTGGAGGGAAAGACAGGTCTTTATCTCTGCTTCTTGGCATCTATATCCTTGCCTCTCCATTTCTGTCTGCGTGACTTTCTATCCCTGCTTGTATGTTTTTTTTTTTCCTGTATTGCTCTTTTATCTCAATGAATTTGTCTTTCTAGGTGATGTCTCTTTCAGTGTGTGTAAAAGTAGTCTGCTCATATCTATGCATCTTCCTGTTTCTTCCCCCCTTTTAATGTGTACCTCTCTGTGTGTCTCAGTATTTCTTTCTTTCTCCATTTATGTCTCTCTGCAATACCTAACCCTGTCTCTGCTTGTGTGTGTGTATGTGTGTGTATGTTTTCCTGTGTGACTCTCTCTCTGAATGTCCCTGCATTGGTGCATGTCTCTTTGTCACTATTGATAGCTATCTTCTGACTGTCTTTTTGTCTTTCTGTCTTTTTTTCCCAATCTGTTTTTGTCTGTCTCTTGATGTGTTTCTCTCTCTCTCTCTGCAGATAGATTTTTCTGACCCTGTGTGGCTGTCTAATCTGTATAAGCCTCTTTTTCTGTCCCCAAATTAACAAGGGATTTGGACTTCTCAGAGTTTTCCCTGTGACTTGTTGGAATGTGAATTTTTTAAGATGAGTTAGGGAATTCTTTGTCTCTCCTTTTTTAGTTCCATTTCTCCTCACCGTGTCAGAGGAGCCAGGAGTAAGAGACAGTAATGTTGGGGACTAAAATAAAAGAGTTGGAAAGATGGACGTGGAGACAGGTGCTAATTATTGAGCAAGTTATAGAAATTACATGAAAACCTCCAGCCTCTGACCAGTCCTATCACTGGAGCAGAGATGGGAAATGAGGTTCCCTAAATAGCATCTGTGCATCACCTCTCCCTTCACCTCCTCATATCCTTACTTAGCTGGTTGGGGCATATTCAGTCTAGGTTCTCAGTGCAGATGTCTGAGGCTGACGACGCACTGTCCCCCAGTGGCAATATTCTGACTCGAACCTCCCCTCTACCCTCCTCCTTGTTTCCCTCTGCTGATGAATTTCAGATTTAATTTATTTTTCAGGATACATGTGTGGCCTACACCAGCCTTGCAGAACTGGGGATCAGTGAGCTTTATCTATCCGTAGACATAATAGCTAATCTCACATTATACTCAGATATAGGAGCCTTGTTATGACTCTGTCCACCTGAAGGCCTCATAGAGCTGCTGTTAGTTCTGAAATGCCTCTGATAGCCAGACAGAGCTGCTGTCCCCATCACGGTGGTTCTGATAGCTGGGAAGTCACTGCCTCTCCTTGGGTGTCTCTGATGACCCAGAAAATATGGCTATTGTCACAGCACTGCTCCCTGCTGTTCAAGGAGCTCCTGCTCACTTGTGGTTTAATATTATGGGTAAAGGATGGGTTTGTAGGAGTTGAGGTCAGAGGTGAGGCTTGAAGTTAGTAGTGGGGGGCGGGGTCAGAGGTAAGGTTAAGAATTGGGGTCAGGGTGAAGAGCAAAGATCAGAGAATCAGAGGTGAGGTTAGGAGTTGGGGTCTGAGATAAAAGGTTAAGGTTAGGAATTGGGATTAGGAATGAGGATTGAGGTTAGGAGCTGAGGCAAGGGGGTAAGATTTAAAGTTAGAAACTGGGGGTTAGGGTGATCAGAGGTGAAGGTTGAGGTTAGAATTTGGGCCACAGATGAATATTAAAAAGAGGAGTTAGAGTCACATGAGGGATGAAGCTAGGAGCTGAGGTCAAGAATGAGTTTTGAGATTAGGAACTAGGGTCTGGGGTGAGGAGTGAGGTTTAGAACTGGGTCAGTGGTAAAGATTGAAGGTGGGAGTTGAAATCAGAGGTGAGATTTGAGGTTAGAAATTGGGATGAAGAATGAGATTATGATTGGGGTCAGGAATGAAGAATGAAGATAGGAATTGGGGTCAGAGATATCCAGATTCCGGTTTGGGGTAGTCAGTATTTCCAGGGCGAGAACTGCTGTTCTGTGCCCAGCCCAGAGCCACCAGGTCCATTCAGTGACCCATGTCGTTTCATTCTTTTAGATCTAATGCTGGATGATGTAATAACCCCCCGCAGCTCTGCCAGCGCAGCACCAGGTACTGCGGCTATTGGGTAGTTGGTCCGAGGGGCGTGGCCTGGGGGATATTACTGACCTCAGGCCCTGCCTGCTTCCCAGTTCCTGTCTCATTTGTACATGGATATGTCATTTGCTTCCTCTCCATGACACATCAATCTCATACTTGTGGGTGAGGGTTGGGGGTTGAAGGGTCCCCATGTCCCCAAGAAGGCACCATTTGAAATCCTAGGTCTTGTCTGACAGAGCTTATGCTCAGTTGGGCAGGGCCTGAGAACCTAGGTGAGGCCATATCCCCAATCTCTGCCTGTCACCTCTGAACTATCAGCCTTTCCTGCAAAGACCAGGAGATGATGGTCCAAGAGCCAGCCACAAGCTGGACCACCTCCCTGAATCTCTTGCTATCCTGTCCCCTCTCTTTCCCAACTCCTCCATTACCACCCTTGGCTTTTCAGCACAGTGGCAATTATTACAGCTGCAAATCTCTCTAGTCTGAAGAAAAGACTTTGATCTGAGGGAGCATTATGAGAGGAGAGAGGATTTGTTTTTAAAATGTAACGATGAATAATTTAACAGACACATTAATAGTCAAGAATACGCAGTCTCTACGTCAGGGCTACAAACAGCAGGAATTAAATCAAGACCTGAGTTAGCCAAGATCCTCTCCTCCCAAAAGCCAAAGATGTGGGAGAAGGTCTAGGCCACTTGTTGGAGACTGTGTCTTTGGGCACCCCTGGCCAGACAGTGTCCTTTCTCTACCATTTGAGATATGGCTTCCCTTGCTTTCCTCATCTCCAATACACCCTTGAGGACTCCTATGAGGTTTCAAGCAGCTGTGTGCCAGCCCCTAACCCTGGCCATGCTCTCCTATGTCACTGCACGCTTCCCTCCCTGCACGGACTCACAAAGGACTCACTTCATGGGTGTGTGGCTGTTGGGTCAGTGCCCCATGCCAGGGGAAGGCTCTATGATAGCCCCAGTGGTGGAACCACAGGGAATTAGGTCAAGGGTCTGTCTTTTGGGACTCACTGATGAACCCAAAGTGGGACACCCCAAATGTCCATTTTGCATATAGTGTCTCAGTAAGACCCCCTGACCTTCCCTCACCTCACCGTGATCAATGTTGTACATCCCATAAGGTGCTGATGGGGACATGTCCCGTAGTGAGTGGAAGCCTCCCTGGAATCAACAGCTGTGCTTTGTGTCTGAATCCCTGGGTCCATATGTGATAATGTTAGGATCCCATATCCCTGTCATGCTGTGTTTGAGGAGAAGAGTGGAAGACATGGACAGGAGGAATTCTATCCATGCTGTCTTGAATGATATAAACTCTGACACATTCATTCTCTCTCTCTCTCTGTCTCTCTCTCTGTCTCACACACACATATGCATACACACATGTACACACGTACACACACATACACGTACACACACACAGTTATGCATGAGTTAATACATATACTGTCATTTAGGTCCAAAGTAGGGGCTCCCAGTGGTGCTGTTGCTGCCCCACACATGATCTTAGACACCCACTATTCCTCTACCTGCTTATTTTGTTTCCTGTTCTGGGCCTGTAGCCTTTGTGATTCAAGTCGCTGCATTATGTATGATCCAAGCAGAGGGTCCAGACAAATGGACAACCCCCACCTTCCAGTCTAGTGTGATTGGTTGATGTCCAAAATTTCTATTCTGTGACATAGTTCTGACCTCTCTTCCACTTATATCCCAGCTTCCTCCCAATAGGAAGGAGTCTTAGACCCCAGAGTGACAGCATCAGTTCAGTGACTGTCTAGGGTAAAGGGTGGATTGGAAAACTGAATTACTTCACAGGTACCAGCAGATGGGGAGGGGAGGAAGAAACAACAGTGACCAGGGCCCCAGTCTTTTGCTAAGCAGGTCTGGCTATAGACAGATGAGGATTGAGTTTGGTTTGTAGCCAACTTGGTTGTAGGCAGTGAACCCCACAGCCATCAAGCTCCCTCCTCCTCCTTCCCACCACATCCCCATCTCAAACACCAGACCTGGTCAAAGGAGCCGAATGTGTGACCCATCCCATGAGGGGGAACTGTGTCACACGTCATATGGCTCCCTACCTCCCCACTTTCCACCTGGTTCTGCCCTTTCACCTGGTCTGTGCCTGAAATCTACTCAATGATAACCCCAACTAACCCACTGTGCCTGTTGCCCTTCATCTGTGTTCTCTCAGCCACTCAGTCCTTGGGAGGGTTGTGCAAGGAGGGACAGAATAGGGGGCGCTCCACTTTCCATCCTGCGGATTTGTCTGATATTTACCAAGCCTGCTATCAGTTATGCAGCTGGAAGTGGGCATGGGTACAAGGCAGAAAGGCATGGACCCCAGGATAATTCCCAATCAACTAAGGATTTCCCCAATGATTTAAGCAAGAGTTCCCCATACCTCTCCCTCCTTCCCCTGCCCCCAAACTCTCTGGGCTGTTGTGGCTGAGACAGTAGCTTCCAAAGCAACTTAATTTGTGGCCCCCTGACAAGGTAATCTACATTTACACTAATCTGCATGCCAGGCATGTGGGGGATGTGCCACCCCCTGCCCATGTAGCCAAGAGAATGCTAAGCAGGGTTGGATCGCCAGGGCTGCCGTTCCACACGGTTTGCCCACAGGTGGATGCCCCTGAGGGTTTGTGTCTAAAAAACGACCGCAAAATAATAATAAAATAAAACCCCACAACCTATCAGTGGTTTGGAGAGGGAGTGGGGAAAGGGATTGAGAGGGAGTGTGCTAAGGGAGGAAAGGATTGCATTGGGAGGCAGGGGAATATGGGTTCTATTCCCAGCTCTGCCCCCTAACTAGCTATGTGACCTTGGACAGGCCACTTCAACTCCCTGGGCCTCAGTTTCCTCCTCTATAAAATGAGTGGATTGGATTAGATGATCTCTAAGGTTTCCTCTAGCTCTGACGTTCTAGGTTTTGATGTCCCTGAAACACTAATGAAGGGTTTCTAGATGTTTCTCCATGTTATGGTGGGGAGTGGTGAGGAGGGAGACAGGGAGGGGGAGACAGGGGAGGCTGCCTTATGGATGCTTGGGATGGTTAGTGATCAACCCTGCTCTAGGCAGACACCCCCACTCCTGCTTAACCTTGCCTCCCTGGCCTTATTTGGGGGCAGAGGGGAGTCTTGGAGGACTTGCCTATCAGGGGCCCCTGGCTGAATCCCAGTATGACTCTCACTCAGACAGATAGAACAAGAGCAGTGGCAGAGGTGGGGACCTCTCAATTTGGCCAGCAACACTGCACATAAATTAAGCCTATATAAGTATTCTGTTTGGGGTAAAGGGATGGGGAAGGTGCCCTCCCTCCTTCCAGTTCCCTTCAGCATTGTCTCAGCTAATAATGGGGCTAATAAGAAGACAGTGTTTCTAGCTTAATTGTATTCAAACATTTTGGTTAATTCCCCATTCATATTTTAGCATAATGGGATCGGGTGCTCTCAGCTTTTATGGAGATTAATGTAGAGCCGGAGAGATCCCGCCTCTTGAGCTGCATAGCTCAGCTCCCTCCCAGCTCTTTGTGGGGATGCAAGGAAGAGTCCTCACTTGTCTCCAGTCAACTTTCTGTTATCCATCCAATGGAAGATCCAAGGCTTTGTTGTTTCCAGCCCAGATTGACCTACTCCCCTCTCCCCCCTCCCCCTAAACTGGCATATCTTTCCTCAGGGAGATACTGTCTTGAGTCAACCATCATTTAGAAGATCAATTTTCAATGCCTGAAAATAAAACAAAAATCATAATGCATCCCCAAATTGAAAAGACAAATCCTAGGATGCTTTGGTTTGGGGGGTGAGAGGGAGACAGAGATTATTTCCACCATTGCCTTTTCACATTAATCTAGATAACTGAGAGTTGACCATGTGAGAACAGAGCTTGTTTTTTGTTGCTGGGCTCCATCCCCCTCCTATGGAGAATTTTAAGTCCTGACTCTTTTTTTTCAATCTTCATCTGGGTCCCACCTCCTTTCCTTTTCCTGCTTTAGTCTGTCTCTCTGTTAAATAACCAGCGCAAGGATGGAGTCCTGAGTGGGAGCTGGTTTAGGGTCAAAATTTCCTATTGCACCTAGCCAGCCTCATCCTGGGGTGCAGTCCATGCTACCGATGGGCTTAAGTCCTCCTAGGCGTCCCTGGGGTGGGGAAGAAGGACTGTCTGAGATCCATGTCTGTTTGATGGAGCTGCCAGGGAGCCTGATCAGTCCCCAAAATACTTTCCCCCAGAATGAGGAGAGTGTCACTCTTTCTGCTCTCAGAGATCCACCCCAACCCTCAGTCTCTAGGCTGGATCTTGTTCCCTAGATTTGTCCTTAGTGCCTCTAAGGGACAGGAGTACTCCTGGGGCAGTGATTTTAATCACTAGCTGATCTGCTAATTACAAGAGTAATATTATGCTTCTGACAGATCTCAGACAGCCTCTTCCACTCCAATATGCATTATCATGCTGCCCTGAATTTATGGTCTCAGGCTGGGCATTTCCTCATTAGAGATTAGGTGAGCAAATTAGTTTATCTCCTCAAACATCCAGGATTCCAAGAGCTTGTATCTAAAATGAGAGCAGACCCTCTTCCTCCACCTCCACTCCGGGAACACATGGGCATCAGGGTGTGGGGGTGTGGAGGGGAAGGAGCTTGGGAGTATGGGGCTGGTGGTGGTGTCCCCCTCCCTGAGACTCAGTCACGGAGATGTCCAAATTCTAAGCTCTAGTTTTAATTCCAAATGCTTAGCTCCATTTAATCTTTTTGCAGTACTCCTCCGCTCCCACTGAGACTCATCTAATTCCCCTCTTTTTTTTTTTCCAATTTGTAGATCTGTCTTTGTCTAAAGAGTAGAGAGGTGAAGGAAGCTGGAGAAAGTTTTCTTTTTCTTTTTGAAGGATAAATGCTCTTTGGACCCCAAATGTTAAGGGGAGGGGGTTGGCTCACCTCTTCTCTAATCTGGATTAAGAGCTATGCATGTTCAATGCCCTACCTTACCTGGAGAGGTATCAGTAGAAATGCTTAGATTAGAGAGAGCAAATGCCTGTGATACCCTCTCCCAACTCCAACTCCCCCCCAAAACAATTTGCCCTTTTGGGGAGGGAGTAGGAAGAATGGGGATGCTGATAGAAGTAGAATTATCACCACCAGTGTTGGAGCTGGTGGCTGTTTGGGAAGCCTGTCTTGGGTAGGGCAGGGGAGATGGATGGGGCTGGGGGAGACTAATGGTTTCTGTGCTCTCTGCCCCTGTCATTGGCTTCTCCCCCACCAGAAGCACAATGCAAACCCTACTATTCAGACTACTCGAGGTTCCGTCTCCTCGTCCACCACATGTGTACCAGCCACTACTTGGATCTCTTCATCACTGGCGTCATCGGCCTAAATGTAGTTACTATGGCCATGGAACATTATCAGCAGCCTCAGGTAAGAACTTGCCCCCTCCTACCCATACACACAGCCTATCCCCACCCCGGTCCTCCACATATGGAAGGAACCTCCTCCTCCCTATCAGATGGCTTGTCCATATGGGGAGACATCAGTGTACCATTGTGAGGGGAGTAGGGAGGGATTCCCCTCCAAAATTTTTGACAGATGGGATTTCTGAATCCTATTCAAAGCCATGATTCCAGTATAATAGAAAAAGCATCAGGCTTTTTCAGTGTCTCAGTGGGTAGAGGGCTGAGCTTAGAGCCAGAAAGACCTGAGTTCAAATCCTGCCTCAGATGCTTATTAGCTATGTGACCCTGGGCAAGTCACTTACCATGCCTCAGTTTCCCTATCTGTAAAATGGGATAATAATAATAGCACCTACTACATAGAGTTGATGTGAGGACTAGATGAAATAATATATCTAAAATGCTACATAAATGCTATTATTATTAGATTTAGACATTTGTAGTTAGAGATTTTTGGATTTAGATTTGGATTAAAATCCCACCTCTCCTACTTAGAAAATGTGTGCCCTTGGAAAAGTACTTCCCCCTCTCTGGGCCTCAGTTTACCCATTTGTAAAAGGAGGGAGTTCGATTTGATGATCTCAGAGGTCCCTTCCAATGTTATGTCTTCTAATGCACAATTATCCAACATGCCATGATTGGGTAGGTGGTAGAGGAGTGCTCATCTGAGGATTCATTGATCCCCTTTCCCTCTCCCCACCACCTAGACCAACAGCTCTCTGCCACATTGTCTGGGGAGGTCTGATAAGGAGGCTGTTAGCCCCTCTGACATCAATGATGAAGTCCCCTGCATCTGTTCTCCCTAGATCTTGGATGAGGCTTTGAAGATTTGTAACTACATCTTCACCGTTATCTTCGTCTTGGAGTCTGTTTTCAAACTTGTGGCCTTTGGTTTCCGACGATTCTTCCAGGACAGGTAATTGAGTGGAACTACAAGGTGCCTTTGTTTGGCCATGGGCAAAATCCCTAGAGAATTCTTGCCATCTCCAATTACTCTCCTTCTCTAGACAACTTGGGCAAATCTGGGGGTTACTGGAGCCTCCCACTGCCTTCCTCTCACTATTGTGGGTAGGGGAGGTTGCCCAAGGGTTGTGAGGAGGTTCAGGACACAATGGCAGAACAGAGGGCTGGAGGTGAGGGTGGGGAGAAGGGACGTAGGAGGTGACAAGAAGGCTCCTCGTGGGATGGAAAGGACATTGGACCAGGGATCAAGAGAGCTGGGTTCTAGTCCCTCTTGACGTGAGGGATTGAGAGCCTTCTCTGGCCTCACCGTAGTCAGGTTCATCTAAGCAGCTAAGTGGTGCTGTGAATAGAGCTCTGGAGCTAGAGGCAGAAAGACCCTGAGTTCAAATCTTGCCTCAGACATTTATGAGCCTGGGCATGTCACTTAATCCCTATCTGCTTCAGTTTCCTCATCTGTAAAATGAGAATGATAATTAGCACCTACCTCTCAAGGCTGTTGTGAGCATAAATGAGGTAATATTTATAAAGTGTTTTACAACCGTTATAAATACTAGATATTATTGGAAGGCAACCTGGTATTATAAAAAGAGAAATCGGAAGATCTGGATTTCAGATCCCAGCTTTGACATTTCCTATCTCTGAGACCCTCAGCAAGTCACTCCTCTGTAAAATGGGGGAGGTGTGGCATAGATGTCCCTCTAATATCCCTATGAGCTTTTAATCTATGATTGGATGGATTCACAAGAACTTCCATTGAACAGAAGGGGGAAGGAAAGTCCTGCAAGGCTGGATTTCTCTATGGGTACATTCTTCCTGTACCATAGTGTGATGGAAAGAGAATCTAGTTAATAGTAGGCCTTCAGCAAAAAAAAAAAAAAAGTTATTGAGTACTGGAGGTTGACACACCTGGATTCTAGTCCTGTATCTGCCACTGACTAGCTCCTTGTGACCTTCGATCAATTCATCTTCATCCTCCTCTGTAAAATGTTGGATATATTCCAGCTCTAGCCTTCAGGGTCCAAGAAAACATCCTTATGCTGCCCGCTCCTCCATCCTGACAAACCCAGCTTTTCCACCTTCTGGGTTCCCTCGGCCCCTACCCCAGAATCCCTCCATCCCCCCAGGGAGACACGTTTCGGGTTTCCAGGTGGAACCAGCTAGATCTGGCCATCGTGCTGCTTTCCATCATGGGGATCACTCTGGAGGAGATCGAGGTCAACGCATCGCTGCCCATCAACCCCACCATCATCCGAATTATGAGGGTGCTCCGGATCGCGCGTGGTCAGTGTCTGCCAGAGAGGCTCCCCCCAGCCACACCAGGCACTCTAACATTGTTCCTCCATCCTGCTTTTGGAGACTAACAGCTGGGGGCAGGAATGCTTGTACCTTGGAGATGGATTGGGAAATAAGATCCCTTCTGGGATAGAATCCACCTGCCCAACAAGCCAACCCATTTTTCTTCCATACGATATGAAACTGGTTGGAAGGGAGGAGATCTGGGCTGCTTTAGGACCACTGGTCAGCTCCCAGTCTACTGTACCATTCTCAGTGCATCCAATCTGACCTTTCCCAGCCCACCTCTGCTGAGTAAGAAGGTGGCTGGGTTCCTCAGACCTCCTCGTTGCCTTCTCTCTGTGGCAGGTGAGCCCCTTCATAGCCTAACACCTCCACTGGAAGCCCCCCCACCCACCCAGCGACAGTCCAGGCCAGGGATAATGGGCCTTGAGGTCTTAGGCTGAGAAGGGGGAAGGGAAGGAGCTGTTCATCCTCATCCCATCCCTTTGTTTCCTCAGTGCTGAAGTTGCTGAAGATGGCAGTGGGCATGCGGGCTCTGCTGGATACAGTGATGCAGGCCCTGCCCCAGGTATTGGAGGGGGCTGGGATGGGACACAGTGACGGGGACGGAGAAGGAGGAAGAAAGTTTGAAACTGGACTGGAATATGCATTTTCATCTTTGCCTTTTCTTTTTCTCTTTTCCAGGTGGGGAACCTAGGGCTCCTCTTCATGTTACTGTTTTTCATCTTTGCAGCTCTAGGTGTGGAACTCTTTGGAGACCTGGGTGAGTTGGGGTCATTTGTGTGTGTGTGTGTGTGTGTGTGTGTGTGTGTGTGCACGCGCGCGCGCGTGTGTGCACGTGTGTGAACTTTGTCTGAGGGCAAAGAAGTGGGAGCTGGAGGGTTCTGGCGTCTGGCTGACTGGGGGCTCCCCATTCTCTCTTATCCTCTCCCCTAGAGTGTGATGAAACCCACCCCTGTGAGGGCCTGGGCCGCCATGCCACCTTCAGAAACTTTGGTATGGCCTTCTTGACCCTTTTCCGAGTTTCTACTGGTGACAACTGGAATGGCATCATGAAGGTGGGACCCTCCTCCTCTCCCTGCCCCCCCCTTGAATGTTCCTGGCTCTTCCTGGAGTTGGTCTGTCCTCAGAATTTTATTGTAATAGCCTGAGCTAAGTATTGTTAGGAAGTTGAAATCATAGTAAGTAAAATCTTGTAGCATTCTCCACATCAAAGCACCTCATAATTTGCTTTTGAGGACTCCTTTGTTTAGAGGGATAAAATATGCCTCTAAGAGTTTTTTGTCCTTAAAACACCCCAAAATTCCTCTTTCTGCAGAAGATATATTATAACTTCTTCCATATTCAAGATACCTAATAACTCCTCTCTCCCCAGAACTTCTATAATTTTTTCTATAACTTTTCCATCTTCCTCTGACATCTTATAGCTCCCTTTTTGACCAGGACACCCTATAATTCATCCCATATCCCCAGGACACTCTATAAATTTTTCTTCTCTTTAGCTCATTCTATAACTTCCTCCAAGCCCAATAAAGCTCTTTCTGACACCCTATAGCTCCCCCTCTCACCAGTATACCCTTTGACTCTACTTTCTCCCTAAGAGGCCCTTTCTTCCATACCCAAAACACACCCTCCCTTTCCCCAAGACACCCTATAACTAACACTCCTACTCCCTATAATACACTATAACTTTTCTGCCCCGTCAAGAAACCATATATCTCTCTCTTCTCCCTAAGATTCCCTACAATTTTTTCCTATAACTTTTTCACCTCCTTTGCCAGAACACCCTATACCTTCTGCTTCTCCCTTAGACACCTTTAACTCATTTTTGTCCTTGGGACACTCTATAACTCACCTCTGTCCCAGTACACTGTATATACGTATATACATACAATATATACACATATATTCTCTTCTCCAGATCACCCTATAACTTCTTCCATTCCCAAGATACTTTATACCTCCTCCCTTTTCCTTGGACATCCTATAACTCTTCCCTCTTTTTTGATACTCTATAGCTCCCCACTTTTACCAAGATATCCTATAACTCACTCCTAAACCCAGGATACCCTCTAAATTCTCTTTCTTCTCAAGACACTCCTTTCTCTTCCAAGACACCCTCTAACCCAAGTGTTCTTACCCATTTTCTGTGTCAGGGACCCCTCGAGTAATCTGGTAAAGTCTATAGCCTCCTTCTCAGAATAATATTTTTGAACACAAAGGATTATAAAAGGAATTAATTATATTGAAATGTAGTTATCAAAATATTTTAAAAATTCAATTTATTTTAATCCTAATTCTCTCCCTCTCTTCTCCCTTTCTCCCACCCATTGAGAAGACAATTAAAACAAAACCCATATCAAAATTTTTTTTTTAATTTCAAGGACTTCCTGAAATCTATCCATGGATTCCAGGTTAAGAACCCCTTCTCTTGTCTAACTCATCCATTTCCCCACTCAGGATACCCTCCGAGACTGTGATCAGGAGTCCACCTGCTACAACACTGTCATCTCGCCCATCTACTTCGTGTCTTTTGTATTGACTGCCCAGTTTGTGCTGGTGAACGTGGTCATCGCAGTCCTGATGAAGCACTTGGAGGAGAGCAACAAGGAGGCCAAGGAAGAGGCAGAGCTGGAGGCTGAGCTGGAGATGGAGATGAAGACTTTGGCCCCACCCCAGCCTCCCATCTCGGGAGACCCCTTTTCCTGGCCCCAGGGAGAGGGAGGGCCAGACAGCCAGCCTGGCAGCCCAAAGCTCAGGGCCCCTCAGGCCTTGCACGTCAAAGTGGCTTCTCAACTCTCCTTGGCCCACCCCACGGTGAGACCCCAGTGGGAAATGAGGGGACTGGAAAGAGGGGGAGGAGTAAAGACCCCCCTGGGGCTGGAGAGGTACTTTATGGAGCAGGCAGAGAATGGGAGGAATAGGAAACCATCAGACCCAGGCTGAAAGCCAGCCACAGGACCCCAATTGAAGATTCACTCACTGCCACTTTCCTGCCCCCTAGAACCAGGTCCTCACTCTCCTCCCAAATGATCAAGCCCCTGAGACACAGGCTCCACTGCCGCCCTGGAGGAGAATATGGGAGCTGGAAAGGGCATCACCCCATGGGATGGTGTTGACAGAGATGGGTCAAGAAGGGAGGTTGGGAAGGCACTCTGGTTCCTCACCAGGGCTGCTGCCAACAGCAATGCTTCATGTCTCTTCCAGTCTTCTTCAAGGGGAACTGTGTCAGTAAAAACATTGCCCCCAGCCCTGGGTGGTCTCTAGGTACCTGTGGGATCTGCTTACCAGGCAGCCTGACTGGCCCTGACCTAGAATAGTGATGGTGCTGCTCTCAGCACCTCTGTCTTTGCTATTCAGGGGGCTGCAAGGGAGTGCCAGGGGTGATAGTCTCCTTCTGCCTCACCAGGGATGGTGCTTTCTGATAGAAGCAGAGGGTTCGTTTCCTTGGAGAGATAATAGAACTTTCCCCCACTCCCGTTTTTTTTTTTCTCCAAGCAAACGTATTTGTTTCCCAGTGCTGATCTGGCCTCTCCTTTCTTGAATTCAGGACTGAGCTTTCTGAAAAGCTTTCTTTGTTTTCTTCCTGTCTCTTTTTTTAATGCCCTCTCATCTCCTTCCCCTCATTTTCTCTCTACCTCCTTTCTTCTTTTTTCCTGTTTTTTCCATCCTTCTCAACCCATGCTTTCTTTAACCTGTCCTATTTCTTCTTCCTATCTTCCTTTTCTGCTTCCCCATTCTCTCTCTCTCTCCTTATTCATTCTCTCTGTCTGTATCCTTTCATACCATCCTCATTCCCATCCCCTCTATTCTGAGCCTTCCTCTCTCTCCCATCCCTTCTTTCTTCTTCATCCTTCTTGTCTCAAACTCACCCTCTCCTTCATCCTATCCCTCATCCTTTCTCTCCCTCGCCCTCTCATCCTTTCCCTCATCCTTTTTCTCTCACCCTCTCTCCATCCTTTCTTCCTTATCCTCTCTCTCTCCTTTGTTCTCCCTCTCCCTCATTTTCTCTCACCCTCTCTCCATCCTTTCTTCCTTATCCTCACTCTCTCCTTTGTTCTCTCTCTCCCTCATTTTCTCTCTCCCTCATCCTTTTATTCATCTTCTCTCTCTACCCACCCTCTCTCCACATCCTCTATCTCTCTCCTTCATTCTCCTTCTTTCTCTATCTCCTCTTCCCTCTCTTCTCTATATCCTACTCCTGCTTTGTTCCACTAATCTTCTCATCTGTATCCCTTTTTCATTCTCAACCTCTCTTCTTTATTTTTTCTTTCTGTTTCCCTTCTCTCTCCTCATCTCTTCTTTTCTGCTCATCTTTTCCCACTCATGTCCCCACCTCCTGCTCATTCCCCTTCTCTTGCCCTTTCTCCATATGTCACTCTCTTCTATCTGCCCTCCCTTTCGTCTCTAACCCTCTCCTCTACCTCCTCTCCCTTCCCTAACTTCTCCTCGGCACCACTCAGGACAAACAGCTGTTTGACACCATCTCCCTGCTGATCCAGGGGTCTCTGGAGGGGGAGTTGAAATTGATGGATGAGCTGTCCAGCTCTTTGGGCCGGCCCTACACCTTCCCTCCCGCCCCTGGCCAGGGCGACTCCGAACCTCAGGTTACTGTCCCTGTGTTGTGCGCCCTGCCCTGCCAGTCTAGTATTGGAGGGGGATTACTGTGTCCACCACTGATTAAGGTGGCCAGTAAGGAGGGAAACCTATAGTTACAGTGTAGATTAGGAAAATAATCGATATTCTGGCAGTGTTTCCTTGAGCTGGGATGGTCCATTCTGATACAGCAGGAGGCTGAAAAAAACATTAGAGGGAGAGAATTGGAAGGGCGATGGTGGTGGGAGGCTGATGTGGGCATTAGAATAAGACAGGTAGGTAAAGGCTCAGGCAGATACTATAACAGGGATTTTTAACCTGTTGTCCACAGACCCCAAAGGGGTCCATGGATAGATCTCAGGGTGTCCATGAACCTAGATGGGGAAAATTTCATAATTTTTACTAACCTCTAACTGATATTTATCATTTCTTTTAATTATTTAAAAAACACTATTGTGATAAGGGGTCCATGGGCTTCACCAGACCACCAAAGGTCTCCATGACACACAAAAAAGGTTAAGAATCTCTGTACTAAAAGAAAGAGGTCATTCGTGGGAGGTCTTTAGGGCTCTTTTGGTTATATCACTGAGGAGGAGAGGAAGAGAGATGGGGAGAGAGAGGGAATATGGAGGTGAGGGGCTGTCTGGTTAAACACTTGTGGGATGAGGAGGGGAGGGGGAAAGGGCAAAGAGATTTTCTTGGCAGTGCTGACTGACAGGCCTGAGAGTATGGGAGGGATTTCCACAAAAGGGCCCTGGATGGCTGGCCCTGGAACCAGGATTAGTCCAGTGTGGGTCCACCCAGAATGAGAGGCTGATTCCTCTCTGTGGGTCCTGGCTCCCGCAGTCACCCAGGATAGTGGCTTCTCATTGTGTTCTTGTTTGGGCATGACAGATGCTTCATTTATCTGATTATTTTAAGCCCGAGTTTATCCTAAAAAGAGATTTGGGAGTTGGTAGAGGAGTGGGGGCAGAGAGGAATGAGGCCATGACACTGATCTCTAAGAACATGCGAGATGTGAAACATGAAATGGATGTTTTTCTATTCCCTTCCTATCCATCACAACTCTTTCATGCCCCCCGGGACTTCCACTATAATTATTCCTCATTCTCTTGCTCTTTCAAGCCCTTGTCCTTTCTGCTCTGTTACCCTCTCTCCACCCTTTACTAGGCCTTTTCTTCCCTAATCTCTCCCCTTCTCTTTCACACCCTCACAGTCCTTGCCATCTCTCTTCCTACAGCAGAGGAATCAATTCCCTAAATTAGGACAGGAAACATGGCAGATTAGGGTTTGGGGGGGTTCTGGGAGTTCAGAGACTAAAGGAATTAGCTTTAAATCTCCCCATCCTCTGTTTCCTGTGCTTTTTTCCTTTCCAGCTCCCCTTTGCTTCCTAGCTCAGTCCCTGCTCCAGTTAAAGCTACAAGAGCATAGAACCCCAGATCTCTTCTAGGATGGGAAAGGATAAGAAGTCAGGGCTCATCTGCACACCTTTCTCCCAGTGTTACATCATCACAATGGGAATAAGGGTGTCAGGGTTTTACTCCAGAAGAGGGAAGCAGCCTGTGAGAGCATCAAGTACGGACTTTAGTGTGATCAGTGATGATTTCACTAGGTGGGAACACAAAGCTGGGAATACAGGACCCTTAAAGATATTTGAAATAGGGTGGTAGAAGACTCCAAGTAGGAGAGAATGGAGAAGGAAGAGTTAGAGAAAGCCCCTGAACTGAGGCTGCTTATAGGAGCCTCATCTCCCACACTTAGATTTCTAGAGCTTAGAGATGGAAGGGTAGACATCTTTCCCAACCTCTCATTTTATGAAAAAGGAAACTGAATGCCAGAGAGGGAAGTGACATGTCCAAAGTGGAGCAAAGGTGGGATCTGAACCCACATCTCATGCTCTTTCCATGATGCCACTCTGTGGAGAGTGAGCCTAGCATGTGTACAGACCAGATCTTTGGGGGGAATGGGTAACAGTTGTAACACACCCAGGTGTATAACAGCAGGGAAAGTATATGCTTGTGTGAGTCCATATGTGTGTAGACACACATCCCAATACTTTTGGTGGCTCTGAGAGAGAAGGAGGCCATCCCAAGAGGTTACTGGAGATGGATGATGGCTATGGAAGAAGGCAGGGACAGACTGTGAGATTGAAGAAGTCAGAAGCTGAGGCCTTGACAAACCCTGCCAAGCCTTTTAGATGTAGAGAAAATAATAAGAGCATAGCCAGGCTCTCTGTGGTATTGCCCCCCTCATCTCCCTCTCCGTGCCCCACCCCCCTCCATACTGCTACCTCTGTCTATAGAGAAAAGGGAGAAAAATCATCTTTCTTTTCCTTTTCTTTATTTCCCTCTCTTTTTTTGGTTTCATCTTTCATGACTGTGTCTAAAGCCCTTCCTCTGACACATGGTGGCAGGGGGTGGTCTAAGAGTCTGCGGGGATCTTTTTTTTATGTGGTTTCCCCATGCTTTGCTATTCAAGTTCTGTCGATGTTTGCCCTCAGTCCTTTTGTATATGTGGTGACCCTTCGAATTCATTCTCTGATGCTGTGTGTGTGTGTGTGTGTGTGTGTGTGTGTGTGTGTGTGTGTGTGT